TTGAGAAAGGATTTTGGGGGAAGTGAACATATTAAATGAACATATTCACTCAGAAAAGATATTGCCCTGGGGGTGCAGCTCAGTTGGTTGGATGAGCACTGACCTATGAACCAGGAGGTCCCGGTTCGATTCCCGGTCAGGGCACATGCCCAGGTTTCGGGCGAACAGGAGGCAGCCGATCCAAGATTCTCTCTCATCCGTGATGTTTCTATCTCTCTCTCCCTTTCCTTTCCTCTCTGAAATCAATAAAAATATATTTTTTAAAAACGGGGAAAAAAGTGTTACAAGAACCAGAGAGGGAGCCACGTGACTGGAATCACAGAAGAGGAGAGAGAGGGTCAAGGACAGAAGGATCCCAGGCGTTAGGGTAGGGGTTGAGCTTGACCCCCGATACGAATAGAAACGTGGATCCCATGCTCCGAGCTCTGCCACGTGACATCTTACAACAGGCAGGTAGCCCTGTCTCGTCCTGCTGTCCCCGAGAGGGGGAGAGGGCAGATGCCCACCCCTGGCCCAGGTGCCACAGCCAGACTGGAGCAGGAGTAGAATTGGAACTCAGGACTCGAGCCTGGCGGCGGCTTGAGGAGGGTTTTGTCCACCTAGTTCCGGCCGAGCCCCCCCTGTTCCCCACCTTCAAGCTGCCTGGACTGCAGGTTGAAGCAGGAGGCCACAGAGGGGCCCAGCCTCTCCCAGAAGCCGGGACCCTGGTTCTAAGCCTGCCTCTGCCTGGGGCCTTTCTCCGCGTTTTCCTCGCCTGTTTCCCCAAGCCCATCAGCAGAGTGGATGCGGAGCGCACTGGGCTGGTTCCCAGCCAACCCAGGCTCCCTCTCGTCCCCACTCTTTGCCGGCAGCTCAAGCACGGTGTGGCTTGGGGCGAGTTACTTCACCTCTCTGAGCCTCAATGTTATCTACGCAGTAGGAGGGTGAGGTTATGTAATTGCCAGGGGCCCTTTTGCCCCTCGGGGTTGACAACTCTAGGTTCTCAGATGGCCAGGCCTGGGTGTAATTCTGTGACCCAGAACAAGCCCTGCCCCTGCCCCGGCCTCCCGCAGCCCCTCTGCCCTCACCTCGGAGCCAGCACAGCAGGAAATGGTCGTCTGGGTTCGGCAGGGTGGGCAGCACATCCCGGACATTCTCCCGAAACTGTAGAGAGAGGCGGCGGGGTGAGCGACAGGTCCCACCAGCTGCCCTCTGCCCAGGACTCTCCACTGGGGCTGCTGGCCGCCCCCCGCCCCGTCCCCCTTCACCATTCACCACAAGTCAACTCTGCAGACGCTGGCTGAGCATTGGGGCTGCAAGGAGCACTCTGTCTGTCATGCGAATGGGAGCTGGGTAGCAGGAGGGGGTGGGAAGGGAGTAAGACACTGCCCCTGCCTGGCTGCGTGCCCGCCCCCCTCCCTGTGGTGGGCCGGTGGGCATCATCTCAGCTAACTGAGATAGTAGACACTGTGGGACATGCCGCAATCATTTACCAGTGCCCAGCGGAGAACTTGGCACTTCTCTTATTCCTGCCTCACTCAGAGTCCCTCGAGGTATTACTGTCCCCATTTTACAGCTGAGGGACTAGGAGCTCAGAGAGGTTAAGTAACATGCCCGAGGTTAAACAGCAGAGCTGAGCGCAAACCTGGGTCTGTCGGAGGCCAGAGCATACACACTTTCATGGTTTTACACACACACACACACAAACACACACACACACCTCTCCCGTTGTCCTGCAAAACCCCACTCAGTAATGGAAGGGAGAGCAATGTTCTTGGCAGAGCAGAGTGAGGGAAGAGTTTGATTCTGACCAGGGCCAGGAACGGGGTGGTCTCACATGACTTCATACTTTTTTAAATGGCATTTGAGCCCGGCCGGTGTGGCTCAGTGGTTGAGCACTGACCTATGAACCAGGAGGTCGAGGTTCAAGTCCTGGTCAGGGCACATGCCTGGTTTTGGGGCTTGATTTCCCCATGGCGGGTGGCGGGTGTGTGTGTGTGTGTGTGTGTACAGGAGGCAGCCGATCAGTGATTGTCTCTCCACATTGATGTTTCTGTCTCTCTCCCTGTCCCTTCCTCTCTGAAATCAATAAAAAAATATTTTTAAAAAATGGCATTTCAGCTGGTCTTGAAGGGCATCAAAGGCCATGGGAGGAGGGAGGAGGGCTACCCAGGCGGGGGGAACAGTCCAGTGGGAAGCCATGACGGTGGGAAGGTGCAGGGAGTGTCACACAGGGAAAGTGGACAGTGACCCCAAGGGCTGGCCACACCCACTTCCAACGGTATGCGAGCGCACCTGCTGCCAGGCCCTCCCCGGGCCGAACGCTCCCAGCCACTCGCCTCTCCCTGTCACTGACCCACAGGGCGGCCGCAGAGGGGGCCAATGAGGACCAGCCACCTCTGCCCCTGGCCCAGGTCAGCCAAGGACTCGGACCATCCATCCCCCAACAACTGCCAGAAGCCCAGGCACACCACTCAGCCAGGGCTCGGGCATGAAGCCACCACTGACCAAGGACCCACCCTGGCCCCCCGTTTCCCGTGAAACCACCACCCAATCGAATCCCTTATCTGCCTGGCTTCCCCTGCAGGTCAGCAGTACAACCCGAAACCTTCCTTTGCAGCCTCCCTGGGAAGGGGCGGCCAGGCCTGCGAACAGCCTTCCTGGCCCACGCGTGCCTCGACCTCTGCCATAGCAGGAGCCGTCTGTTCCCCTCACCGTTCCCAGCCATGGAGCCTGCAAACCTCGAGACCGGACCCAATCGGCCCTGGCTCCCCGAACAGCCAACCTCGCCCTAGCCTGTTTGGCTCAGTGGGTAGAACGTCGGCCTGTGGACTAAAGGGTCCCGGGTTCGATTCCGGTTAGGGGCACATGCCCAGGGGTTGCCGGCTCGGTCCCCAGTGTGGGGCATGCAGGAGGCAGCCGATCCATGATTCTCTCTCATCACTGATATTTCTATCTTCTCTCCCTCTCCCTTTCTCTCTGAAATCAATAAAAATATATTAAACAAACAAACAAAAAAACCCCAGCCAACCTCCCCTTTTCCCATGGGCGACAGGGAAGTGGAGAGTCAGGGGGTGGGGAGGTGGGGGCAGCCCTCGAACTGTCACCTCCTCCTCTGCCCGGGTGCCCGGGTGTCCAGGTGCCCAGGCAAAGCCAGGCTGACCTCCTGGCCTGGAGAGAGAGCCTCAGGCCGAGTCCTAGGCGGGAGAAGGGCGGGATGGCCGCCCAGCTCAGTGCCACCGGCCTCTGCTCCCACGAACCCCAACCCCCTGAGCAGTT